TAGATTAAAAGTTATTCAGAGTGGACCGTTTTTTTAATTATTTATTTATTTCCGCACTGTTTGTAGGATCTTTACGTTTCAAGTCCCCAGATTAAATAGTAGAATATACTTCCGCTTTATATTTTGTCTAGCACTATAATGTCGAATAAGTTAACTGTATTTTAACACAATATAGCTTAAACAAAACAAAAAAGAATAACATATAATTTTTACATTCGAATTACTATAATCTTATATTGTTCCTACAACTAAAAAGAAACTTTGACAGATTAAATATTTATTTTATTCATTTACATTTATGAATTTATCATTTACATTATATTTAAGAAACGCGTAAAGTAAAAATTAAAATGAACGACATCACTCCATTTCAAATTGTTATTTTTTTTATGAAATAGAATTTTAAATTAATTTTTTGACACAGAACTATTAGTAAGTATATTTTTTCATTATTTTGTATTAATATAGGTGAAGAATATTATATTCAGCATTTTTATAATTTATAGTTATGAAATACAGAGCGAAATATGAAATACCGGTGTCTTTTTCTGCGTTAAAGGTAGAATCTGCCAAACAGTAATTTTTCAAATTTGCACTTATTTGCAGTTATTTAGATCTAAAAGAAACAGCTATTCATTATTGAAAATTCTTTAACTTACAAAATCAATTATTGATAAATTTTTGAATATGGAAGAAGAAAAAAATCTTTAACTACTTTTTTTGGATTTGAGTACGAATTTGTATCGAGGAACTTATTTGTTGTGGTTTTTGGAACATTTTATAAATTTTCTGTGCCATCGTGGAGAAATGGAAAAAAAAATTACCCTTCGTCCTATTAGACTTAAGAAAAGAATAAATTAAAAAGAAAAAGCCTGATTCATTATCATTAGCAAAATTATATTGTTTTTAACCATTTTCAAAAATCGCATCAATAGTTTCACTTTAATTTTCTTCATAACGATAATAATATAAATCACTTTCGTTTTCATCGCATTTAACGAAACTTAAGCGTTCTTCCAGTCAAGGGCGTTCGTTCGTAAACTCCTCTTCTAAGAGTAAAATATTGAACGATCGGCAGACAGAAGTGGAGAAAAATAATAATCAGCGTTTCATCCGTTTAATTTTTGATAATATAATTTATGATGTTCAAGTAATTTGACCATCATTACTTTTAGGTGAGTTCTTTTTAAGTTTTTAAAGTTAAGTTCTTTTCAAGTATGTCAGTTTATTTATTAACAATCTTCGAGTTCCACCAAACGATTATTTTATATTGCTGAAAACGATACTTTTTCCCCCACTATCGTTATTAATATTTTTATTAGATTACAACAACCATATAACCGCCCAAATTCGCATTTCGGCTAATTGTCGCAGCTTTTATAGCTTTATTTTTATGGCCTTATATTTTTTTTCACATTTTGATTGCATATTATGGACCTTAATGATCCGTATGATTTCGATTAAGATTTTATTATTTTTAAACTTATTTTTCTAAAAGTTTATTTTATTTTATAACCGTCGTTGAAGAACCGACCCAATGAGTTTACGACTACTAATATTCAAATCCGTAGCCTTGTAATTTTAAACCCAATCCAGAAGACAAGGGAACTCCTAGATCAAATATTGGGAGAAATCTGTCTTCATGAAGGACTTTTTGAAGGAACTAACCCGCATTTGCGTTACATGGAGAGGAAACTACGAAAACCTTCCATGGTTAGTCTGACGGCAAGGGAACTCTAATCCATGATCCATCTACTATTGAGGATATTTTACGTCAACACTGTGGTCGGTGCGAGACGGGTGCGGAATTCGTATCGACCAGCCACCGCTAGGTTTCGAACCTGGTTTACCTCTTTTGGGAGGCGATCGCTCTATCCCCCATGAGCCAGCACTGTTCTTTTCCAAATTTAAAAATCTCTAAATAATAGTAAAAGGGTTTGAGAATTCAAATCAATATTCGGTATAGAACAAGAAGTGAAGGATTAATTTGCGATATAAATTATCAAATTAAAAAAAAAAGCAGGATGCTTAAGATAAAAAAAAATAAATATATGAATGAACCCGGTAGCTAATGGAATTAAATAGTATCCAAACAAAAATTTAAATATTTGGATCTGAGGAACTAAACAGACTTTAAATTTTTTTTTTTTTCCTTTCCGGAATTATAAATTTTCTTACAGAAAATTTAAAGCGGGACAGAAAGTAAGAATATTTCTCACAATTAATAATCGATTAAAAAACATAAAAACGTATATTTTATTTAAAAAATGTTTTAAGTCTTTAAAAAAAAAAATCACAGACAAGTCAATATTTCTTATAATTTCGAAAATTTAGTGACATTTTTAAAATTTAAAAAATAAAATAAAAGAATGACTGCAAAGTATAACAATTAAACCATATTTTTGGTAACAAAAGAGTTGAACACTTAGAGAAATATATTAGATTTCATTTTTAGAGCCTCATAAGCCAAAGGATGATTTTCCAAATTTTTTTAAAAACTTTTAAGACATAATTTTCCTTTGGCATATAAAATAGTTAAACATCAATAAAATTTCGTGAAAAAATTATCTGTAAGTCACTCTCCTGGCTTGTACGAAACTTTTTTTAAACTTTAATTAATTTAAAATTTTTTTACATCAACATTTCAATAATTAGTATTAGTAAACTATATATATTTGAAGGTGTAAAATAATTTTTTTTTGAATCCGTTTAATTATTTAACTCACCAGAAAGAATTATTTGAAAGATTGTTCTAAGGTTTTCACTTGACTTTCCTGTCCCAGGGAACTTTTCTAATATTTTAGGAAAAAATTAAGAAATTTTAATCATACGTCTGCAACACTGTTTATAACCACCATTATATTGAATTGATTGATTTGATGATTCGATTGATTGATTTGATGATGCTTTGATGATTTGAATCAACTCATGTTCTTATTATAGCTTTGAAATTCTAAACTGAAGTGAGTAACAGTTTCAGCTGTAATTTTCCTGTACAACAGTTTTATTATGCATTAAAATATTTCTTTAAAAATAATACTTATTATAATGTGTAATAATGTGATGATTTTAATAGAAGAACTTTTTTAAGCCTAAATCTGCCGTATGAACTTAGTAGCAGGTCATATATAAAGAAAATGTCATAATCCTGATATGCAAAACTGTCACTCTTTAGACATTTTCTTGAGCCAAAGGATTGATTTAAGTCAGCCAGCAGCGTTAATCCTTTGAATTTTTATTAAACATGTTTTCCATACTTTTTTTTATTATTTTGTATTAATTTAAGTTAAAATCAGTGCAAAACATTATATTTAGCATTTTAATAATTATGGTTATGAAATACAGCATGAAACACCTGTCTTTTTCTGCGCTTAAGATAAAATCTTCCAAACACGGCTCACTTCTAAACAAGAATTTTTCATATTTGCACTTATTTGCACTGTTTTTTTATATTTAAAAAAAATACCAAAATATATTTTTGTTTGCAATTAGAGCAGCAAAGAAATATAATGAAACAAATAAATAAATGGGACACCAGTGTCCCATCTACATCAAAGGGTCAAAGTGAGTACTCCTTATTTTTCTCTTCAGTGCCTCATAAAAAGTATGAATTTTTTGGATTTTTTAAAAGTACTCTTAGTTTTAAAGAGTTTGTGATTTGAAAATGTTAAGTTTTTAGAGAATCGTCCAAATTCATTTTGAGCTTAAGATATCTACAAACAATATTAATAATCTTCATTACTGCGAAAAACGTTGTGTTCGCTTCATATTTTAATGGATTGGTTTCATACACAGAATTTTAGGTCATACACAGAATACACAAGTTAATTCAGTTAATATGTAAGAGCCAGAAGCAGCTTGACAGCGCCAAAATCGAACAATTTTAAATACAAGAGGAAACTGAATCAAACTAAGTCAAGTGAAAAGACAAATGAGAAAATGGAGGTAAAAAAATAGGAGGAGAAAAACATTTCTCTATATTTATTTAATGAGAAGATTTTTTACTTCAAAAAAAAATTTAAAAAAAAAACATAGTTTGAATATTTTGTCAAAAAATAATATCTTTTAAACTTTTTTTTAGTTAAACGATAATTATTATTATTATTGAAAAAAATCACAAATAAGCCCTAAAGCAGGTAGCACGGGGTGAGACAAAAAACAAACAAAAAAAACTCTAAAATTTTTCTATATCAATGAGAAAATAAATATCCAAGATTGATGAATATAATGAAGAGCTGATTCGAGTTTTTTCATATTATAGTAATTTTATTTATTTTCTTTTTTCCATAGAGAATTTTAGAAATCAGTGAAAAAATTAGCACTAATATTATAATTGAATAAAAGATCAAAATCCTCAAACGTAAAAGAACTGTAGCATAAGCACATGCTAATTTTACTGTAGTAAATATTTCTTTTGGAAATATTTTATCTAAAATTAGAGGGGAGAAAAACAGATTTCACGTTTATAATATAATCAGAATACAATTGGGTGTTAAAAATTTTTTTAAAGATATATTTACAATTTACTAAAAAAAAAAAAAAAATCATCACTAACTGTATAAACAATAAAAATAGATTTGATTACCAACCTAAAATCTATTTAACCTATCGATTTGAGTTAAAAGTAAATTAATTTACCGAATTATGGCAAATTTACAACAAAAAGATAGATTTGATTACCAACCTATTATCTATTTAACCTATCGATCTGAGTTAAAAGTAAATTAATTTACCAGATTACGGCAAATTCACAACAAAAATAACCTCAAAAGTACATAAAATTTTAACTTTATACGAGAAGATATATGAATACTAAGAAATAATTCTAAAAATCAACTTTGAAAAAAAATTGGTTTACAAAACGTTTTAATTTTTTTTAATAAGGTACTTTATATGTTTAAAATTAGCTTAATAAAGGAAGGAAAATGAAATTAATGCTTTAAATGATTAAAACAAATTATTTTCAAAAAAAGAGAACAAAAAAAAAAATAATAACATACTTTCGATTTTTTCGAGGGTGTTGTGACAAGTCTGGTGGTAGTGCGGGTTACGGTCCTAACTCTTTGAGGGGTGTCATTTTTCGATGAGGTGACAGTTGTTTCAGTCACCGTTTTATTATCACCATTCGTAGAACTGACCTGCTTGACCACACGAGTGGTGTGATGTACCGTACCACCACTACCAGTACGCTCCACAGTGGTCACCTCTGGCTCAGTGCTCCTACAAACGGTAGTTTCTCCTGGTATAATTCTGGATGTGCGAACTACAGTGGTCTCTCCTGGAATAATTCTGGACGTTTTCACAACTGTCGTTTCTCCGGGAACGACGCGTGATGTCCGGATAATTTTCGAGGACGTCTCTCCTGGAATTACTCTGGACGTCCGCACAACAGTTGTTTCTCCTGGTTCAACAGTCCGGGAAGTCCGGACTACTGTTGTCTCACCCGGCTCCATTCGGGAGGTCCGAATGACAGTGGTCCCTCCCGGCTCGACCCGGGACGAAACACGGCTGCGGGTTACCGTACGGCGATCGGAATGAGTAGTCGACGAATCCATGACCCTTAACGCAGGGTAACAAATCTATGACTGGAGAAAAAGTGAAGCGATCGGCTCGACAAGTCTTTGCCGGCCTACGATAAGAAAACCACTCTGGTTGCTTCTTTGCGGCCTACACAAACACAGACTGAACACCCCTACGACTACTCGTCTAAGGAGAAAAAACAATAGCACACTTAAAGGTGAGCAAAAAAGAAAGTACGCCGAAATTAGTATATTCGATTCAGTCTGTCACGCTTTTTCCGATGTTTATTTGCATACGGTTTGCGGTAAAAGATATGTCTTATCGCGGTGACAGTATAGAAGGATATTAAAGAAGTAAAAAGTTTATAAAAATCAAAAGTAAATATTGATCTTTTGGGTTAAATATTAATATCAAAACTTCCGCGAGTAATTTCCAAAAATAGTTAAATCGCATTTCAAATTAGAATGTTCGCAAGCGTTTATAGAAAAGATATACTTATAATACAATGTTTATTTTTTAACAAATCAATTTCCAAAAATAGTTAAATCGTATTTCGAATTGGAATGTTCGTAAGCGTTTATGAAAAGATATACTCATAATTCAATGTTCATTTTTTAACATATAAATTTTTTAACAAATCAATTTCCAAAAATAGTTAAATCGCATTTCAAATTGGAATGTTTGCAAGCGTTTATAAAAAGATACATTTATAAAAAAATGTTTATTTTTTAACATATCGGATTGATTAATATTAAGAGTGTTTTCATAAAGTAGATAAAATCACGGATACGGAATTGAAATATCCGTGAACGTTTTCTTGGTGTATTCAATAAAAAATTATCTTCACTATGGAATTCGTTTAGTATTATACGATTGCGCTAACGATATTTTAGTATTATACGTGTACGCCGAAATTAGTATATTCGATTCAGTCTGTCACGCTTTTTCCGATGTTTATTTGCATACGGTTTGCGTTGTCTTATTGCAGTGACAGTATTAAGGATATTAAAGAAGTAAAAAGTTTATAAAAATCAAAAGTAAATATTGATCTTTTGGGTTAAATATTAATATCAAAACTTCCGAGAGTAATTTCCAAAAATAGTTAAATCGCCTTCAAATTGGAATGTTCGTAAGCGTTTATGAAAATATATATATTTATAATACAATGTTTGTTTTTTAACATATCGGATTGATTAATATTAAGAGTGTTTTTCATAAAGTAGATAAAATCACGGATACGGAATTGAAATATCCGTGAACGTTTTCTTGGTGTAATATTCAACAAAAAATTATCCTCACTTTGGAATTCGTTTAGTATTATACGATTGCACTAACGATATTTTAGTATTATACGTGTACGCCGAAATTAGTACATTCGATTCAGTCTGTCACGCTTTTTCCGATGTTTATTTGCATACGGTTTGCGTTGTCCTATTGCGGTGACAGTATTAAGGATATTAAAGAAGTAAAAAGTTTATAAAAATCAAAAGTAAATATTGATCTTTTGGGTTAAATTATTTATATCAAAACTTCCGAGAGTAATTTCCAAAAATAGTTAAAACGCATTTCAAATTGGAATATTCGTAAGCGTTTATGAAAAGATATACTTATAATACAATGTTTATTTTTTAACATATCAATTTTTTAACATATCAGTTTCCAGAAATAGTTAAATCGCATTTCAAATTGGAATATTCGTAAGCGTTTATTAAAAGATATACTTATAATACAATGTTTATTTTTTAACATATCAATTTTTTAACAAATCAATTTCCAAAAATAGTTAAATCGCATTTCAAATTGAAATGCTCGTAAGCGTTGATAAAAATATATACTTATAATACAATGTTTATTTCTTAACGTATAAATTTTTTAACAAATCAATTTCCAAAAATAGTTAAATCGCATTTCAAATTGGAATGTTCATAAGCGTTTAGGAAAAGATATATTTATAAAACAGTGTTTATTTTTTAACATATCGGATTGATTAATATTAAGAGTGTTTTCATAAAGTAGATAAAATCACGGATACGGAATTGAAATATCCGTGAACGCTTTCTTGGAGTAATATTCAATAAAAAAACATCTTCACTTTGGAATTCGTTTAGTAACTATAAGATTGCAATATATAAAATAATAAATAAATCTGTTCAGAGTTTTCCAAATTATTACGTATTACGAAAAAAGATTAAATGCAAGTGCAGAAAAGGAAGTGATTTATTTTTAACAAGAGAACAATCTATAGAAAATATGGAATGTTCCTTTTATTACAAAATACAGCATATGACTGAAAATATTATTTTTCATGTATATATTAGAGGTAATATTCAGTATAAATCGGTCATTTCAGTACTTCATGTTACTAGTATAGAGTTTAATTAAATGCAATACATTATTATAATTTTACATACAGTATATTTTTAAAATACACATTATTTTTATTTATTTGTTTATTACGTTTTCGAACTCCGCAGTTATATTTTGAGAATGCTTTTATACAGTTATAAATATTTTGCTCTTATATTGAGTAGTGAATTGCACAATAGTGAAATTAAATAAATAAACACATATTTTTGTTGCAAAAACATTGAGCTCAAATACTTGTAAAAATGTATTACAATTAAATAAATGACAAAACAAAAGTCAGCTTTAATCTTTTTTTTAGTTTATTATATACTTTATAACCGACCCAATTTTGAGTTTACAACTACCAAGCTACAACACCGTAGCCTTGTAATTTTGAACCCAATCCAGAAGACAAAAGAACTCCTGGATCACGTATTGAGAAAAATTTGCCTTTGGGAAGTCTTTTTGGTGAAGCTAGCCTGCATTTACGTTACATGGCGAGGAAAACCACGAAAACTTCTCAGGGTAAGCCCGACGGCAAGGAGATTCTAACCCATGATCAGTCTACCACTGAGGATATTTTACATCAGCGCTGTGGTTGGGGCGAGCCAGGACAGAATTCGTATCGATTAGCCATTGCTGGGATTCGAGCCTGGATCACCTTATTGGGAGGCGTGCCTATGGTTGTCGTATTTTTAACCATTTCGACATTTTAACTATGTTGATACATTATTATCGTACCAGCACTTTTACACTCAACAGAACATACACTATAAAATTGCTGAGAGCCTTCATGGCTCTTGCTTCCCAATGAAATGACCCGGGTTTGAATCCCAGCGATGACAGATCAAAACAAATTCTGCAACCAGGTCGCACCGATCACAGCGCTGATGCGAAAATATCCTCTGCATTAGACGGATCACGGGTTAGAGTCCCCTTCCCGTCAGGCTAACCGTGGGAGGTTTTCCTCACCATACAACGCAACTGCGAATTGGATCCATGAAAAAGTCGTCCACGAAGGCAAATTTCTCCCCAATACTTGATTTAGGAGTTCCCTTGCCTTTTGGATTGGGTTCAAAATTACAAGGCTACGGGGTTGAACATTGGTAATCGCAAATTCAAAATTGGGTCGGCTGTTCAACGAAAGTTATAAAAATAAAATAATAGATTAAATTGCAGAAGAAATCACTTAAAATGCAGAAGATTCTATGGAGCTTTTAATTTTTACTCCTTATTCAAAGATTAAAAAGAACAATTATTGAAATATAGTGTTTTAATAGGGTAAACCAACCAGTGAAGGAACATTTCATATATATTGATTAAAAATGAGAATTTGAAAGTTTTTCTTTAGATTGATTGGTAACAATAGCTTACTGCCAAACAAAAGGAAGTTATCTAGCAATGTTTTGGATTACCTGGTCAAATAAACTTCTCTGGAAAAATGTTTGAAGTTGTTATTATCTCTGCAACACCTTGTTTCTTTGAAAAAATTATAAGGTGAGTGTTTGTATTTATATGTTTGAAGTGGAATTAATTGCATGTAATAGTTTTATTTTTCTCACTGTGAAAAAGAGAATTCAAAATATAGTTATTGAAGTTACGTTTTATTTTTTTTAAGCATCATAGCATAATAAAGTACTGAGATAAGGGGGTGTTTATTCACTGGATCACCAAACGATGAAAAACCAGTGAAGGAACAAGTGTTCCTTTACTGGTTTTTTTTCTAAGTTAATGAAAATAAAAGATAAACTTTAATTTTCTTGTACCTTTAGTGATGTTCCGCATCAAAAGTATGTTAAAAATACGAAAAACAACTTCTAACCAGTGAGGGAACAGGCATGTTCCTTTACTGGGCATAGATTTCCCAGTGAATGAACAGTATGTGTTAATATGTTGACACTTTAATTTTCAATTCATGATTACAAAAAAAAGTTAACATTTTCCAAGTATTTATATGTTATAATTTCAAGAATAGGCTTGTTTTTAAATATTTGTATGGCTTATAAATTCATAAAGAGCATTAAAAAATAACCAAAATTAAGTGTTCCTTTACTGGGTGTTCATTCACTGGTAAGAGCTGTTCCTTCACTTGGTCTTCTTACTACTTGTTATTTGAACCTCCAAAACTTTAAAACAATATTATGTAAGTTCTCTACAACTTTTTTCATAATTTGCAATTAGTAACAAATATGTTGACACTGTCATTTAACTAAAATTACGAATTTTGAAATTAATATGATTTTTTAAAAGGCAAGCGAAGCTTAAGCGTTCCTTCACTGGTTAGTTTAGTTTACCCTACAATCAGCTCAAATAAACGATCCCTTATCTATCAAATAACTCTTTTAATACTACTAAAAGCTTAACATCGTATATTTTGCAGCAATTAATGACCTACAACATGGATTAGGCTAAAGCATAACGAAAATCCCACGATGTCATAATTTGAGCAAGCAATGAAAGCCCATAAACCCCCACATATGTGTAAATGTAATTATTTCTAAAAAAAGTACAAAATTTGAATGTATATTTTCAAAATGACGAAGATTTAAAGCTTAGTGGAGAAAGACAGAAAATGAAGTGCAAATGCAGAAGAGCTGTTCATTATCTATTGGCTGATAGATATTTGAGTTGGTTGAGTCATCCGAGTATTTTATTTTTGTTCCAGAAATATATAACCCTTTAATTAAACTAGTAAATTAAATTTTTCAATTACGCAAATTACATATCAATGAAGAATATCGCAAGACATGTAAATTTTTACCAAGCATCTTAGAATATTTATCATTACATTGAAAAAAATAATGAGAATTTCTATGTTATTTGATTGATTGTTATTTGAGAAACAATAAGAGTAGCTAGCCATTAATAAAATAAAATTATATTATTAATTAAA